GTCTTCATTCCAATGAACATGAAGGTGCAGAGGGGGGTCAGTTTCAATTGGAATTTCCTCCGAAAGTCTATGTGATTTCGTATTACGTGCTTTGAGAAATGCTGGAATCATATCAGATGTTAAGTTTGGCTCTTTTATAGGTATGTAACCAACATTTTTACATATCTATCATCTATATTGCAGCCTTTGCACGAAAGCTCCTCGGGATTGCCTATATGCTTGTCCATTCCTTTCACTCCTTGTCATTTACTGAATAACATCTTGGTGCATTATTTTCACCAAGAGGTACACCCCAAAAAATATCATAGGTCCTGTGAGGACATGAATACTGCTCGAACGACTGACACCCAGACCAAATTAGGTAATTGTCTTATGGAGGCCACCCTCTACCGAGCCTTTACCTTGAAGCTTGATGCACAAGGTAGTAGAGCAGCACCAGAAAACAAGTTCTTATTGTTTCTGGTGGATAGGACATATTCATTTGTCATTTGATTCTCCCAGTTCTGCAGGCTGTGTACATCATCGGTTTCGGATCAGGAATTTCCAGCTGCCATGAGTTGGTCAGCATGTCCTCCAGTCCTTTTGTAAGTGCCACACCTTCGCGTTCTACGTTTCACTTTTGTGGGAAACACCCCACCGAGTGATAGCGATGAATATGGCCTGCCTGATAGAGGCTATGAACGCATGGCCAAGTGAGAGCATTTTGAGGCAAAGACCAGAGTCTAACCACCCTCAGCCTTACCAGGTCTTTTAGGTGTGGAATACTATTCTTCTGCCTATAAATCCTTTAGTTAAAGCTTAGATGGGCACTGAATGTGAATCGTAACAAGATTTCTTTAGAGTAGCTTGTTAGCAATTTTATGGTTAAACCATGTGGATCGAAGTAATCATGTATATATTCATAGAGGGAGTGAGGGAGAAACCGCGGTTTCTGCGAGAGGATAGACACAATGAAAATATGGCATTATCTGAGGCACCAAAGTCTTTTATGCCCCTGTTGCAGTCACTGCGCGAATAACTCGCTGTCTTTCGCCAGAAATCCAAAACAAATCTAAATTGTTCCAAGTGGATTTGCGTTCAAACCAGAATTGTCCGAGATAACGAAAAATTTATTGTTCTATTTAACAAAAAGCGTTATGTAATTGTAGTACAAACCTTCATTTTGGGAGTTACGCGGCATCCAAATATGAAGGGCTTAATTGCTACGCACAAAATGCCTCACAATCAACAAAACTGTGTATTCTAACGAAAATATACAGCAGTCAATGACGAGCGACAAATGGTCTAATTTACACAACTTTAGCATTTCAAGGTACAAGACTGGACGCAACACTCTCAGCAAAACTAAATGTGCCACCAGTCGAAAACTTATATACTTGCCTTCTAACTGGCCCTATTATTTCCTCTGGCCATTGTGGGGGTGACGCGGATTTGATGGTGGGAACATTTGAGTGCCACCCTTATTTGCAGGAAAGTGCTTTTTATATGAAATTGAATTACTTTTATATAAACGAAGATAAATAACACATGAAAGCACTTAAATATAAACTCTCTTAATAACAGTACGCGGGATGAGCTCGCTACCTCAGATAAACACGCAATGCCAGAAAAGCAGTGTGGATTAACAACCATCCGCTTTTCTTCCACATATTTTCAGCACCATGGAAATTGGGTTTAAAGTCTTCTATGCGACCATTCCTTGTGACTAGCTTGTTTTAGCTAGTCGTTATTCGGAAATATTACAAAATCCCATTACTGCAACTTCCGGACAGAAACTAAACCCTTTATTTATCAAATATTGTTTATTTTACAGTATTAAAACCTGTCAGCTTCTTCTGCACTTTTCTCCTGTACTCTTCTGCTTCCACAGGTGGTGTCATGGATCATTGCACTGAGAGAATAATGCAGTGTCAGTCGACCAAAGTGCAAGAACCATTAGAATCACACTGGCGATATTCAGCGAATTGCTTGCACATCCAATAGAAATCAGAACAGCCTTCGTCATGTAGTGTATTCATTGATTCAAAGCTTGCCCCATATAACTGCGAACGCCACAGTAGTTTTATGCTTACCACTGGTTGTGAATTCTTTTGACTTTTTGAATGCCAGATCCAGGGCCACAAACTTCTTTGTGTGTTTCATATCACGTCAACCGATAATGCTCGCAAATTTTGGAGCTTACGTGTATCGTTATAGCAGGTCATTTCAAATCACCACTCTCCTCTTAATAAAGTTTTGGATGCTGAGGGTGTTAACATTCACAAATTGTACGATGTATACTAACGCAAGACCCTATAACCACAACTTCTATTGTATTCGTCCAGCATAAACCAAACACAAAGCGAAACACTGAATCGATCGCCCAAAACGCGAAGTATATTTTGGAACCAAGATCGTAGTGCGAGGATGATTGCCTAACTAGCTAGGGATCATGCACTACACTACGACGACGTGCCAGATGGCGTGGATGGTTGATCGTGGGCCTTCAGACAAACAAGTCAACTTAAGCTGTGAAGGTCAGCATTCAATGTTCAGTGATGAATGCTGTGGCTAATAATTCCGGAGTGTTATCTACCTCAACAACGTGATCTGTGAAAACACCAGCGTGCAAATGACCAGCAGTTGATATGCTATTGCTTTCAAGTCTAATATAACACAGTATCATAAGGGACAATTTCATGAAACATCTGTCTGGTTATTCATGCGCTTCTCAGTATTCCGGATCAATACATTTTCTAATTTTGTGGTAGGAATTTTTGCCGTGATAACCAGCATATTTTCACTAAGTACACAAATTCATGTCTGTGGAAATGGTTCGCTTCTTATTGAGGAATAAGTTATTGTTATGACAATATCATTGTTCTTATTTGGTCCTTTCAGTTAGTCTATGTTGTCTTCGGACAGGAAATTATTAGAGCTCGTCCGTAAATCGGTCATTTGATGACAGTGAATAGTGGCTGTTAGTTCAAAGTGTTGGAATTCCTACGACAACAGTGGTAATGCTTTTGCGCTTTTCGAAATATATTTCTACTCATTTCAGCCATCACAACTTTCAGTGAAGTAATTCGTAGATTTCACTAATTCAGGCTTGAAAGAACCCTTCGCTTACCTTCACCGCTATTGGGTCAACGGTTTTTTTAATGTTTCCACCTCTAAATAATTCTCTCGTTCTAGAATGATTCATGTAAGTCATCATAAAATAGTGTTTCAGCCGATTTGGAATACGGTACAAGTAGAATTTATAGAATTTATTCTTACGTAGATTGGTCACCGGACTCAAACTGTGTCATCCTCTTCGACAAGTGCCTCGGATAAAGGTTAACGCAAGTTGCAAGGATTAACACAGCTCTCCACAGTCTGCAGTCATATGTTATAGAGGAGTGGAGACTGAATGAGAATCAACGAAAGCCTGGAAAAACAACATGAGAAAAATCAAATAAACGAGTGTTTTCGTCTCAGAGTTCTCGTATTCAAAAGGATTTTGTAGGGAAGAATGGAAGGGTAAAAAACAGGACGTTTGTAGGAAACTGACGTGGTTACAGAAATATGACAAAACAGTTAGTGCATTAAATTCACCCAGCAGCAAGAAGTTCAAATAAACTATGCGTCGGTGGCACAGTGGTTAAGACACTCGCAGAACATGCACATGGTACGGGGTTCGATCCCCGGCAAACGTACACTTGATATCAATGGTCGGCCTGCTAAATTTGGGCTATTATTTATTATTTATTTGAACGCAGAAAAACTTGGTACAATATGGCACCAAGAAGGATGCGCCACACAAATTTCATTTATTGTGTGAGGGCTGAGATACTGCCCGGGCGTCCAGACCGAAGCAGGTGGTTTTCTTAAGGGACCACCCCCCGAGCCTTTGACTTGGAGTCTAATCCGCAAGGCAGCGGAGCAGCGTCAGGTGCTGCGTTCCCATGGTTGCCGGTGACCCATATGGGTTCGTACGCCATTTGATCCAATTGGATTCTGGAGCCCATGTACCCCATGGTAACTGCTTTTAGTCTAACCGCTATCCAAACAACCTTCCTGGCATGGTAGGACCTCCAGGGATATGAGTCCCAGCCAGTTTAGCTTGTTGGGTCACTGCGGCATTCATGCCCGACCACCACGGCAAGGTAGCAGTTATAGGCCGGGTTTGGGCTACCGATATCACATGCTGAAAATTCCATACTTTACCAAAATACCGTGTGGAATCAAGCTGTTATAAAATACAAAATATAATGACGTACAAACACTGAATAAGTGTTTTAAATTTTTTGATAATAACGGAAACAACCATTCAGCCAACATCCGATCGATAAGCGACCAAAACTTGAGTGGGGGTGCAGTGGTACTATGCACTTCCAGGTGTGATCTGACACATGTTTTGTACAACCTTGGAAAGAGCTCAGGAGTGAGTGCACCTAACTGTCTATGTGTAAAGTGTATGACCGCATATGCCTTCGCTGTACTTCTAGTCTGATACACGCTTGTTTCCATTTTCTCCATTAGAACTAGACCTAAGTTAAGCTCCGACGTTTTGAAGGATAAGCTTTCTTTGCACAGGGTGTAACTTGCATTCTACAGCCTACAGGTGCGGAATTTCACTACTTTGCACTTTTCAGGTTGAAAGTCATACCTAAAAATGTGTCTGTTTTTGCTTTTTTTATTTCTTTTTCTGTCTTATAGTGTGAATAACCTATACTGATTATATCTATTATTACCTCTTTCAGTTTGACGACGATACCGGAGGACTAACTGGTGAAAGGACCGACTCCACTCACAGTAGCAACGAAGTCTTAACACACATCATACTACAAACCACATACAATTAATCCCTGCACTACTCCTTTTGGAATCAACCAAAGCTATGACAGTTGAGTGGCGGGACGAGCTACGCAGAATTTTACCGAAGATCAGGAACCTATACCTCACAATCAAGAGGCAAGCACAAAGAAATCAAATTGGCTTATACTAGCTCGTAAAAACGATATTGGATATTGGAAGTCTGACCTTCACGTCCCCAAGGTCAACACCGGGTTCTCATGGCCCGTTCGCTGACTTTTGTCACTGGTAACCCAAAGAAATTGTCTGAATTCTTGAAAATTGTCGGTGAGGAGTATGCCGAAAAAGTAGGTGGTGTTTCACAATATGTCATAATAAGTTTTAGATCAAAACAGTTGCATTGGACTTACCTGAAATCCAAGGTAGTATTGAAGAAGTGAGCAAAGAGAAATGCTTATCAGCATATAGTCAAGTGGGTGGACCGGTCTTAGTGGAAGATACAGCTTTGTGCTTTAATGCAATGAATGGAATGCCTGGACCATTTGTTAAGTGGTTTCTAAAATCGACAGGTCCAGAAGGTAATTATTACATATTTTTCTCCCGATTAGATGTAATCTTACTTTATTTGTCTCGAATTTGATAGTTGTATTGTTGAACAACACTCCAGTGTCATATTTTTAACGTGCTATATGACCTATGAACTTGATTTCTAGTCCACATTCATGTAATTGTACCACATTTATTCATAATGTCAGTTTTGTGTCCCATGAGACGAACCGTCATGTTCATATCTGTGAATATAATTTTGAAAAATCGCAAAGGAAGAAGAAGCAAAGCTACACCTCCAATTTTTTGAACATGTACCCGAAAGCCTACGTGATAAGGGAATAAACGCTTAAAGTAATGCCATTACCAGGCAATTCCTTGATACGGGTCATGGGGTGGAAATCAAAAATTCCTTTAAAAGTGTCAATGAACAAAAAGCTCAATTCTCCTGAAGTTTGCCGAACCAGTTTCTGCCAAACGCCTGAAGTCCGATTTATGTGTTCACAAATAGACAGTTATTAGTCTTACGCATCTCTCATCCTTATCACGTAACTCCTTTACCATTGTATGCAAGCATTTATTTTTGTTTAAACTGGAACCCTCTGGGTATAAACTGCATAAGTGTAGTTCCTGAGTACTGTTTATTAAGTCTGGGGTCTCCTGTCAACTGACAACATGTAACGTTTGCAAGTACATAAACTTGATAGTTTCTTTAAGCTCTAGGCAGCTGATAAGAAGCCAACAAAATAAGGAATGCACAAGCCACTGTTGTTCTTGCGTTATTCAAACACAGTAAGGTGTTTAAGCTAGTTTTGTGGTCTTTGGTCAGGTTGTTGTATCGAAGATGTAGGATGTAACAACAAGGAGGTATTTTCCTTTTTAAAAGACGTTTTAGCTGACTTTGGTGCCTCTCGGTAGTGCGAATTTATAGTGGGGTACTTAGGATTGTCTGTCCCCGTAAATTATACATTGCAACTTTCCTCGTGGTAGTTTTCTATCGGTGGTTAGATCTTGATACGGACACAACTGGAAGTCGGAGTGAAGCTGTCTTTGACCGACTTCAAGCAAATTTTTTCCTCATATATGTCAATTATCTTTTTGTTCCAGGCATCCCATGGAGAATCACCTTTGACGGTGTGATCTTTCGGGAAGTAATAACCTCTTATACACTTTCATAAGCGTACAAAGCTTTCCACTTAGTCAGTCAGTCAATGAAGAGAGTCAAATTTCGACTGAAATACATTAAAAGCTTTTTGCTGCTTTTTATTGTGAAATTTTAAAAGTCAACACACCTTTGGTACAATGTTGTGCTGTTGAAATTGTATCTGCTGAGCTTGCCATATGTCTGTCTGTCTGTTTTCGACATAGAACTTTGCACATATGTGCGGCAGTTCAAGTCGCCACACTCCCTCCATATAGCACACAAAGCAAGAGAAGAAAGTAGGAGAAATGCATAATATAGACAGTAAACAGAGGTGTGAGACAAAGGAATAGTAATAGGGAAGAACAAAGCAGTTTAACTGGAAATCATAAGTCACGAGGAGTGGATGCATCTGAGCCAGCCATTGAGAATGATTTTGAGCCATGTCACCAATTGTTTCCAACCATTGGTTTTTACTGTCGCGAGGACCCGAACGAGTCAGGAAGTCTACATCTTCCTGCGTGGCTTGGACTAACTGTTGTAGATTTCATCGACTGGTGCCATGTTTTGGTTTGACCGCCGCTAGCTCTTTTCCAGCCTGGCTCTATATCAGCTAACATTGCCCATTGTCGAGGAAGGCGATGACTAGGCATACGTAACACATGAGCTTGCCATATTACTTATTAAATTATATATGAATGGTTACACAGAGTTTGTGTTAGACCTACTTGACAGTCAGTGATTACTCCGACACAAGTAGTCAACAATTAGTAGCCTAGTCATTCCTAGTAAAATCACTATGATCTATCACTGGAGTTTATCTGCAAAAATATTTGCTGTTATGTGTTTAAAACTTGGACACAGTTGTAGTATGTAAATTCATATTAATTTGTTTATTAGATACATCACACCCAGATAAACAGTATTATTTACTGGATGACAAAGTTCCGAACACAATTTATTGTTCATAATCATATCAATTATAACTGAACAGCGTCGAAACTACCCTTCCTATTAGTCGTAGGGGTAGTAGAATTTTCCAGATGTCCAACTGAACAGGTGTTGAATTATTCCTATTACACGTATTTGCAGTTGATTCGATAAATAAAGCTTCCGTTATCACTTTCTTCTTCCACTCTGTTACATCAGATTTTAAAACTGTCACCTTATCCCCTTTATGGATAAGATTTTATTTTGATAAATCACACAGTGTTGTACAGTTATATTAACTGATGACGTTTCGAGCTCAAACTATTGCTCGTAATTACATCAACTTGATATGATTATGAGCAATAGTTTGTGCTAGAAACGTCATCAGTTAATATAACTGTACAACACTGTGTGATTTATCAAAATAAAATCTTATCCATAATGGAGTTATACTCTACCACAGTGCCCAAGTTTTATACTTATGTCACCTTATCCCATCCTATTGTATGGATAGCTGTAAATACATGTGTTGAGTATTCTCCTGATCTCTTATCGTATTCTGGTCAACTAATCTAGATTTTGCTGCTAGGGTTTTGTGCTCCGCTAGTCTGACTAACCCCGTTCTACTACTTTGCCCTATGTATTTGACCTGACAGTCATTCCAGCAGGGTATCAGATAAACTAAATTGTTTTGTTTAATTGGTTCCACAGCGTTCTTTAACCGAAAAAGCTTGTTTCTATACGAGTTTATGGATTCCTGTATTGTTAAGAACTTTGCGTAAGGTTTCCAAGGTTCTTTCTTTGTGTGGAAGTAGTACTGATGACTTATATTCTTTGTTGTTGATCCTGTCATCATGCTTTGCACATTTGTCACGCTGTTGCTGTTTTTTTTAAAATTCACTTCAAATTAATTATCTTAATAATTTCATCACCTTCATGCCTTTTCTCGTTGTAATTTTAGGACTTTATCGAATGTTAACTGGTTTTAATGATTTTCGTGCAGAAGCTGTATGTACCTTTGCTTACTGTAACAGCCTTGAAACTCCAGTGGAATTATTCACTGGTATTACAAGCGGTCATATTGTTTCCCCACGTGGACCACGTGACTTTGGATGGGATTGTATATTTCAACCAGACGGTTATACAGAAACGTATGCTGAATTAGATAAAGCCACAAAAAACTCTATATCACATAGATATAAAGCTTTGTTAAAAGTGAAATCCTATTTATCAGTGCATGGAATATAAGAAAACGGTAGCTTATTTATATTATTAAGCTATCATAATCATTTAAAAAGGATATAATATGGGATTTTGATGAAAAAAAGACAACCAACCATGTAGATTTGTACAGTACCTATTTTGTTTACTCTTGAATATAAATTATTATTATTCTTTTATACATAGTAATAATAATAACGGTGATAATAATAATAATAATAAACAAAGCTGTAATTACCTTATCAGTCTTCCTCTTTTGAACTTTTTTCCTGAATATGATATAGCACTTTCCTCATTGTTTCATTTTAAAACATGACTTCGGTACCCCCGAAAAATAATATCGAAATAGGCAGAACATTATGAAAAATATGATGTATTTGCGCTATACATTTTGAACATTCTGATCTCACATTTACTTGTCAAGTCGATATATATATATATATATAATATATATATATATATATATATATATATATATATATATATATATATGAAAAAATTAAGGGCAATTAAATTAAACAAAATGACAAAAAGAGATTTAAGAATGATTAACACAACGTTTGGAAATCCAATCAAACAAGGCTTACCAAGGTAGGTTAAGAGTAATAATAAACTGTTTTTGAAAACACAGGTGTGTGTGTGTGTGGGGGGGCTTAAGTTTATGAAAAGCTATAGATAGCTTCAGCGTATTTCAGTAAGCTCTCTTGGTCATTTCTATACATGACCTTAAAGGCTGTGATAACATCAGCCTTATGGTTCATCTCGATTAGATGTTTAGCTGTAGATAAAGTTGGTAGTCTGCCAACTACGTCCTTTGATTTTCCACAATTCATTTGTCAGCAGAAAGATTGAGCAAAGAAATATTTACTTTTCAATGAGATCCTCATCTCTGGCTCTACTCTAATATACACGTATAGCATTTTTATTACAATACACAAGAATTTACCAATCAAGTGGCACTGATATGTTTGTTAACAATAGTTAGTCAGTCTCAACATGTCAATGGGGTGATAATTAACGAAGAAAATTAATGCACAATTAAAAGGTACAAATGGTTGCAACACGTGGATTACGTAATGCATAATTTGGGAAAAATGAAGAGTAATTAAGGGATAAGCGTGTGCACAGGTTGATTACGTAACAGATTGTAGTCATAAGAATTAAATAATTTTACAAAGATAACATGTAATTAAAGATGAAGTAGTCAGAAAAATAATTTGGACAGTTATAAATTTTAAAGGTTTGGGGACGAAGTAGTCCGACTTATACATTCATGTAGCGATGGCCAAGGTAAGGAAAGTGGCTGTACAAATTTCTTCTGAACATACAGGTTTGGCTTCTTCAGGTGGATTCCGAATGCTTCAGGTGTAAGTAGAAGACGAACTCGTAAAGCGAAATTAAGGTTAGTAGGAATGCGATAAATAATTTTAAATGCTATATTAACATCAACCTTATCCTCACTATCTAAAAGGTGTGCTAAAATAGAGCTACGAATAGATCTTGTTTGTCCCTTGCTTAACCATGTTGGACGATGTCCGGAAATACGATGATGAACCTGCCTAATTTTACCCCCAAAGTAGCTGGCCCCACAGCTGCAGTCAAACTGGTAGATCCACATAGAGGAGGCAAATTTAGATCCTTATTTCTCGAACGTAGAATAGGGGTGGTAGTGAAGAGACAACGTACTTCTGCTGCATAATAGGCTCTTTTAACTGCATTCTTCAGGCACTGCGTTATTATTTCGCTGATGTTGTCACCGAGGAACTGCAGTTTCATTTGTCTTTCTAATCATTTCTGGTTATGCTCTCTCACCCTCACTTACGAAGCACGATTACTCCTCCCTATGTATGTGTGTGTCCAGGCACACACGAAAATTGGATGTTACATAATCACTTGTACACTTTTGAGTTTTGCAATGGAGCATATTTTTTGCTTTTTTGAAGATAACAACCAGGGCTTCATGAGAGGTCCTACGGATTACCGAATTTAACCTTTGTCTCAAGATCCTGCTATTTATTCCTCCGTTATATGGTAATTTGATAAAAACATTTTTATTAGGGGCGGTATAGATTGTTGGTTTAAAGACTAATTGACTTCTACACCTGTTTAACAATTTTAAAGGATATTTGTTTTCAACAAGAATATCCATCAATATTTCATTTTCTTTCTCTAAAACATCAGCCGTACAAATACTCTGAATCCTCTTAAATAAGCATTTCACCAAGTCTCTCTTGTACTGTATTGGATAGAAGCTGTGAAAATTAAGGTATCCCAGTAGGTTTTCTGTAAATTGATCGTCTTATTGAACCATCATCTCTTCGACTCAGATGTATGTCTAAAAATGTAAGCTGGCTGCAACTTTCTTCCTCGCATGTTAGACTTATATGTGATTCTGTACAGAGTTAAGTCTGTCTAATAGACGAGTCGCCTCTTCATGATCGTCACATATCAAAATGATATCTCCTATAGAAGGGCAATTTAGAAATTAAATCAAGAGACAAGTCTTCAACATTAGACATATAAACGTCCGTGTCTTCTAATAACGCAATCCAAATTTATAAAACGGACTAACTATTTTAAAGAACTTTTATGAATATAATTTCGTATCTGATTGTATAAATGATGGCAAAATTATATATGATAGAAGATTGCTATTATTATTTCGGAGTAGATTTCACTATGGACAAACACTAGCTAGATAAATACATGAAAGCTAAGCGGTATTGGATAGTTATTTTGTCACATCCTAGTAATTGAAATCACGACCGCTAGGTTGAAATCTAATGATGCATTATTCCTTACCCCTGCCAATTTGCTTTTCCAAATACTGTTACCATCATCCAGGGTCGTTGGTGAGTCTCGATTTTTCACTGAGTTGTTTGTCGGTGTAAGTATCGTAGTACTGGGTGTCTAAGCTCGGAGGAGAGTCGTTTATATATATGATGAGTCGGGACTAAACGGTCACTCGTCGGGTGTGTATGTGTGCAAACCACAGCTTATTTCTAATCAGCTTAAGGCTATGGGACAGTTAGTGTTGTTATTATTACCTGGCGTTCTACCTCTGCTGTTCAAGCCCTGACGTATTATTATTATGTTATTATTGTTTCCTTTAATTCCTGGAGGAACGTAGGGCTTCAGCCATGCGTCCCCACTGCGTTCGGTTCTCTCGTAGAGTCTTCACCTGTCTCCAAGTCTGCCCACACGCTTTCATCTCCTCTTCACATGACCTCCTCCAAGTCACCTTTGCACTGACGACCAACTCGCCGCTTCCCGTTCGGGTTCCACTCGAGCAATGGCTTGTCTAGTGATGTCACTTGATGGTTTCCTCAGAGTATGGTCAGTCCATCTCCATTTCCTCCTGCCTATTTGTTTCACAATCGGTTCCTGGTTGGTTTAATCCCAGAGATCCCTGTTGCTGATCTTTTCTGGTCGGCCATCTGATCTTGAATATTGAGCGAAGACAACTGTTAATGAAAGTCTGTAGTTTGTTTGAGATGCTCTTTATGACGCGCAGTGCAAGTCTCTGATCCGCATCGTGAGAAGCACTGACTTCACATTGGAGTTGAAAATCCGGATCTTATTTTTGATGCTGAGTGTTGTTGACCTCCACACAGACTTGAGAGAAATGAAGGCTTGCCTTGCTTTTCCGATTCTTGCTTTGATATCCTCGTCAGTTCCGCCTGTAGTTGGAACGGTGCTTCCCAGGAATCTTCATCACCTCTGTTTTCTCAATGTTAACCTGAACTCCTATCTATGATGCTTCTTCTACCAACTTGTTGCTTTTCGCTTGCACATCTTCCAGTTTGTGGGAAATCAGATATATATCATCGGTGAAGTCCAGATCCTCCAAGCCCTGACTTAAATGCACCGAATAGCCATGAGTTATTGATGGCATGAAGGAGTACTGTACCTTCAGGAGCACCTGTAAACGATTCTCATCATGTTTTAGTGTGTATCAGGCTTCTCCTTTGTTTTGGTTATCATTTCAAAAGTTTTTCTGAATAGATTAATTGTAATCACATAATGCACAAGGCAAATATCATTTCGAGTTAAACTTATGACTGGCTATTGAACCTCGAGAAAATTTTAGGCGAACACTGCCTATATTTTCATGACACCCTGGAGATGGCGAGTAGATTCACTTGCAGCGTATTAGAACAATAGCTAACAAACGTTAGGTTTTCTCCATTCATTCCTGTATGTACAGTCAAATATTCCTTAATTAAGATCCGTAAGGACTGGTCTGTCTGTCTGTCTGTTTTCGACATAGAACTTTGCACATATGTGCGGCAGTTCAAGTCGCCACACTCCCTCCATATAGCACACAAAGCAAGAGAAGAAAGTAGGAGAAATGCATAATATAGACAGTAAACAGAGGTGTGAGACAAAGGAATAGTAATAGGGAAGAACAAAGCAGTTTAACTGGAAATCATAAGTCACGAGGAGTGGATGCATCTGCACCAGCCACTGAGAATGATTTTGAACCATGTCACCAATTGTTTCCAACCATTGGTTTTTACTGTCGCGAGGACCCGAACGAGTCAGGAAGTCTACATCTTCCTGCGTGGCTTAGACTAACTGTTGTAGATTTCATTGACTGGTGCCATGTTTTCGTTTGACCGCCGCTAGCTCTTTTCCAGCCTGACCCTATATCAGCTAACATTGCCCGTCTAGGAAGGCGATGACTAGGCATACGTAACACATTCAAGTATTGGTTTGTAAGGATTTGGTTGATTGGTTACAGGATTTCATCATGAGCTGACATTGGTTAGAGAACCACTGGAAAACCTGGGGTTCTAGTCTGGGACTCTTCATCAGTACGCACCTGCCGGGATTCGAACCCAGGACCTTCTGGTTACAAGGCGAACTCGCATGTCATTAAGCCACTGGGACCCGATCCAATGGCCAGTCCATGAATTCTAACTTCTGCCAATTCACGATATAGCGCAACCGCTAGCCAATATCTTCGGCGAGTATTTGTCCTCACACCTGACCTGCTTTAGCCTGCCGGTCACGATTTCCTGAACTAGGACGAAACAGCTGTCCAGTAATCCCAGGTTTTCCAATGATTCTCTGACCAATGTCAGCTCATGATGAAATCCTGTAACCATACGTAACACATGTCCTAACCGTCTCAGTCGATGTAATTTCACAGCCTCGTGGATTGATTTCCTCTCCTTACCCAGCACTCGACGCCTAACCTCAATATTGCTCTGGTGGCAAAAATTTGGAAGCATCATTTGTATCTGGCATCCGACG